AGATTTATGATCATCATTTTTAAGTACTAGATAAAGATTAAAAATGAAAATATTCTTATAAAACATTTCTATTTCAACAATGGATAAATTAACCTTTAACAGCTGTCTAAGCTGCCGACGTAGTTGGCGTATTCATAAAAAACGGATCAAATCTTGCCCCTCGTAGGAGTAAGAAGCTATGAAATTCAATTTTTATCATTCTCTGGTTGATACAGCTATCGAAGAATTTTGGTGTGAACTGTCTTTCTATGCTCCTGGCTGTGGCATTTGTTCTGAGTCGCCTGTTAAGAGTGTCAGCATCCATTGAAGATAGGGAAAATACTGGTACGTGGAAACGAAAACTAACACTAAAAGATACCAAAACTAAAGCAATGGCGCCTGGTCCTCTCCAAGGACAAGGAGGAAGAAAGCAACATTAAAAAGCCTTTGTTTCCACGTTCCATGTCACTGAACTGAAGTAGTTTTACATCTTTGTTAATTTCACATCAATGCAAGCACATAAACCAGCAAGGCCTATCCTTTTTGAAACATACATAGAATTGAATTTTAAATTTTTTTTACTTCTAGGGGAAGCAATGACTGCACTTTTAATAGGTAAAGCCATGATTGTGGGTAAAACCTTGACCCAAGAAATTATAAATCTAGGTCATTAGAAATTAGAAATTATAAAATATAAATCTCAGCGAATGTAAAAGAATCCTTGATGCAATGTTTTGAATATTTTTGAAGAACAGGGTCCAAAACTTCAGAAAGTCACTTAGCCAGTTCGTGTTGTGCTGAACCAATCATAGACAAGATAGGTTTAAGTGGGACGTTCAGCTTGTGTATTTTAGGGAGGCCATACATTTATGGTCGTTGAGAGCCCGTGGGTCTTACCTATCATTGATTTCTGTAGCCAACACTTTTGAGTTGACCAGTTCCAACAAACGTTTTTGAAGTTTCTGCTCTAGTTTGGCCGTTTTGTCCTGTGTTTCGACATCACCCAATTTAGCAAATTTTTCTTTGTCGTGGAGAATTACCTCCATTTTATTGATGTAGTCCTTTTTGTTCAAAATTACCACTCCAGACCCTTTAACAGGTTTTGTAATAAAGATGTCATTGTTAGTCCGTAGAGATTTTAGTGCTTGGAAATGTTCTCTATGCAAAAGAAGATCAGAGTGGTCAATGGAAAGTTTCAAAGCCATTTTTTACAGTTTTATCATTTTCATGATTTTAGATTTGAAGCAGTGGCAGAGACACGGGGTTGTATGGGGGGGGGGGATGGCAATTCAGATTCATCTAAAAACGGCATAATTCCCTAGACCTAAAGATGCCCCCTAAGATGTAAAACGGGCGTTTCCCTAGGACCTAAAATTTTGCAGAGGTCTTTGCCCCCGGATCACCATTACCTCCTCTTTCAGACGGCTGCCACCGCCGCTGATTTGAAATGGGCTTGGTTTGCACATAATTGAGCTATATGCACCGAATTGAGATGCAGTAACATAACGTTTCTACTTGCAAGTGTAATTGAGTCGGACCAATTGCAAAAGCTTTGCTCATGCTGTTCGTACTATTATGAATTTTTGAGCAACCAGCATGCTATTTGAATTTAGGAGCCTTTGAAACAGATCACTATTTTTATTTTTCATCAGGAAATGATTTAACTTGAATGGGTACTGCATTAGTGATTTGAGAAAACTGATGCAGAAAGCACCTTAACCTTATTTTTACTAATAAATTCTCTACCTATAAAGTCTTTTATATTTAACTGTTACGTTACCTGTACTCAACTAGATGTCCCTGCATACAGCAACTATTTATCATTTATGAAAAAGCCTGATTGCTTCTACAGGCTCTACAATGGCTCAATTGGAGCATCCAAGCTACTAAAAACGGAAGGCGTGTTCCAGGTGTTGCTATCAGAGCAACGACAATAAAAGAAGAGTTTACGGACATTCGCAAAGAGATTATATTTTACCTTTATCATGCAAAAAAACCAAAAAAACCCTCATCGTCAAGGCCATAATTATAAAAATTTCTTTTCAGTCCAATAATGTCAACTGACTAGTGCCACAAATCTCTCTGCTCCCTCTTTTCAGCACTCCCAAGTGAAGAGAAATATGAATCATTTAAGCTCTTAGAAATATGAATTATATATATATATATGTGTATGTTCTTATCAAAGGAAACAAAAAATGAAGTTAAAAGAATGACGGGGAAGTGGACCACTCAACCTCACCGTTTTGGAAGAGAAGGAACCGACTTTTGACACGAAAGCAACTTTTGTGTCAAGAGATGAAAACTTTTGTGGCTGGCGACGAAATTGTGCCGTGTGTGCTAGACTTAAAGGTATAAAAAACTGTTTTATTTGATGATTCACTCATATTTTTGTTTATAGCGCACAAGCTTCTGCATTGGTGCTTTACAGAAGCATTTGAAGAATGGCTAAGTTATTGTAAGGTTTGATTTAGTTAAAATGAATTTTAACATCTTGCATTGAACACTCACAGAGATTGAGCTGCAGACTAAAGGATATAAATTTATGGTTTGAATCTATTTATGGGAAGGACACTGAAGCAACATTACATTTTTGCTTCTGTGTGTGTTCCAACATCTACCTGAGTAGCAGGGTTTTTAAGAAAAATTTAGAGGTGCACATTATTCCCGGGAATACTGTGTTGAAGGAATGATTCTTGGTTCTTACAAGTAAAAGCACCTGATGCGCAGGTACAGGTAGACACTGAAATTATGCATGTTTGATTGCCATGCCTATGGGAAGTATCTTAGACTTCTTTTTTCATTAAAGTAAAAATTTTAGAACTATACATTAATTTCTTTAGAACTGCATAAAAAGCTTTTAGAACATTTTGTAAATAACACGGTTC